CATCAAAAATGGCGGAAGTTATTTTATTGCCATCTCAAAACTCTACCTTTATGTATGGAAATGAACCTAGATTTAAACCGCCTTTGATCAGCGTCATATATGAGACGGTTCACTTTTGACTGCACAAAGAAGTATCTGTTACCTACCAAGCACTTGTCACTTCTTCTCACGTCAAAGTTTTAGCACAACTTCAAAGAAGATAAGGTGGAGAATAAAAGCGATGTACAAAAAACTTACCGGAGCCATCTCCACCAGCGCCGTCTCCACTTCCATCGCCTTTTCCTCCTGCACCTCCACCTCCGCTGCCATCTCCTTTACCATCTCCTCCTTCTCCATTTCCATCTCCTTTTCCGCTGCCATCTCCTTTTCCTTCTCCTCCTTCTCCGTTTTCATCTCCTTTTCCGCCGCCATCTCCTTTTTTGCCACCACTTCCGTCACCATCTCCACCACTTCCACCATCACCTTCTCCGTCTCCACCTTTACCGGCTCCGCCACTGCCGCTACCAGTTCCGCTTCCGCCTTTACCACTACCTCCTTTTCCATCATCTCCGCCGTCGCCACCATCTTTTCCATCTCCACCTTTGCCTCCTTTTCCACCACCTTCACCATCGCCGCTGTCGCCGCCATCGCCTCCTGATCCGTCACCTCCTCCTTTTCCTCCGCTTCCTCCTTTACCACCACTTCCGTCGCCTTCATCTTCTCCGCCACTGCCGCCATCATCTGATTTTCCGCCTTTACCTTTACCTCCACTTCCACCGTCACCTCCGCTGCCGTCTCCATCACCACCTCCACCTCCAGAGGAGCTTCCTTTATCTTTGTCTTTATCCCCCTTTCCTCCACTGCCGTCACCGCCGCCACCTCCGCCACCGCCGCTTCCACCGGGTTCGTTATCACGAGTATCTAGATTTCGGTACCTGGCAAGAGACTTTCCTGAAATTATGTCAGTCAGATTGTTGTTTGTTGTTATCAATCACGATTTCATCCTTACGATATGATGTCATACATCATATCGTAAGAATGAAATCGTACATGCTTCACATTTCGTTTTCAAGAATCTAAAGAGCTTCAGCCAACGGAAAAGAATTTGCAAGTATTTGGTGAAATGCGCAATCTAATAAGAAATCTAGGCAGAGAATAAGAAAGTTATTTTAGCTGTCACTTTACAGTAGTCTCATAGAATCTCATATTTTTGCGTCAATGTTTGCATCTACCAGAATTTTTTGATGTGACACCACACCAAGATATCAGAGTATAAGGATGAGAAAAGGTGCAATACCTTTGAATTCTCTTTTCAAATGATCAATGCACTTCGAGATCATATCAAATTCCGTCTTGTTCCGTTTTTCTTCGCCAGAATCTTTCCATTGTTGCTGAAATTCAATGTACAGAAAGCACATTCTTACAGCCATCATTTACAAATGCAGCGCTGATAAGTAATTTCTAATAAAAAAAAAAGATTTCTAATAAAAGTAATTTCTTCGCTTTACTTTTTTTACATGAACGCCTGCTTTCGGACAAGATGCAGTGCTGGCCATAGCAGAGCCATCATTGTGATTTGCCCTCTTTTGGGAGAATTGTCTGAAACCCACTATTCTGTTCGTAAGCCAACGCGTTATCATTGACCAGAACGGCTCTTATAAATGATTTTGACCGGAGAAAGAACGAAAAATTTGATAAAACCGAAGGCTGGTCACAGCTATGTAGCAGCTTCGCACTTTCGACCATACTACATTCTCTAAACCTAAAATTTTTTCTACCTATACAGCTTCAAAATATGAAACATTTGCTGCATCTGAGAGCTGTCGCCTTTGAGAAGAAAACAGATTGCATTTTTTGCTTAAAACTGCATAAAGTCACATTGTTTCAAGAAATTGCTTTTTCACTGAATTTTTAAGCTTGTTCAGCTTGTGTGAAGGTCCTAGTATTCGCTGAGCTTTTGCAATAGATATGGTGAAGAGCGTTTGAGTCAATATTGCGTAGTCGCTGATATTGATAAACTAGGTAAACGAGCTTTCGAACCACAGAAGTTGAGTTGTAATGCCCGGAAAGTTCTTTCATGTGCTCAGCACGTCGTCTGTACAACGATAGACTCGTGTGCATAGCTTCAACATCATCACAACTCTACAGATTCCGGTCCCATCTTGAACCTCTTTCTTCAAAAAGGGGTGGGCACTCTGCGTAAACACGACCATGCTAACCAATCGATCGGGCGCCAGACCCTCAAAACTTGAAGTTCCAGTATTCTCAACAGTTCCGTGAACTCTGACGATGAGGTATGGTCATGTTAGATGTACTGCGCACGACTGAATTGCAGACAAAGCGATTTAATTCCAGTGCTGCGAATACGTCTTTTGAAACATTTGACAACTTTTGAATGAGTAAGTCGTCATACAAACAAAGTGTCAACTTTCGTTCAGAAGTTTTCGCGCGTCAGAAATCGAGTTTTGCGTCTCAGAAGTGCGCTTGCACCTACTTGCAGTGTCCGGGCAAAAAGTTGATTTTGAGATTTTGTGCT